GAAAAAATGGATTTGGGTCTTATAATTAGGACCAAACAAAAAGTCAAATGGGGTCTTATATTAAGGATCGGGGGTAGTATTTATTATCAAAAAATAATGAATAACATATTTTTAATAATGATAAAGGTGAAAAGATTAATCTAAAATTTATTTTTTAATATTTAAAGATATTACTATGAGAGAAATTATTTTTTATAAAAGGACATGGAGGCAGTATAATTATGTCATATCAATATTCACCACAAACATAAAACATAACCTTATCTCCTTGATGCTGAATTAAGATGTAAAGTGTCTACTTTTGCCCGTGAAATCAATGTAGAAGTCAATCAAAAGAACCTTTTCAACAGTCTTTAACTTGTCTTTTGTATTAATTTATAATTCCTAAAATTTACAATTGACTCAAGTGTTTTATTAAATCATTTTTCAGTAATTCTTGGATCACAGAGCTTCAATATGGCTGCTAGCCGTTGGAGTTTGGACCACTGGTGATAGTGGGATTTTTTAAATAAAAAAAAACTATGGTCATTTACTGATAAATTTCGGGGTTGTTACATGTCATTGTCCCTTTTTTTTTAATTATTTGAACTTGACATTTTTTTGGTATTTTTTTAGTGAAACTAAAGCCGTCATCAAACAGCCCCCTCTTGGGATACAAAGAAATTTGACATGTTTTGTCGTATATGACATGAAATGTTAAAAATAAATCATATTATTTTTTTATTGATAAATATATTTTTAATGCTATTTATAAATTATGAGTAGTGCCATTTGTATAGATTACTTTTTTTTATTGAAATATAATCGTAAAAATCATTAAGAATTGAGTTTTCAAAAATATAAAAGAAAAAGAAAACTTTCTTGTAAAATAAGACAAAATGTGTCTATATTCAACATTAAAATAAAATAAAAACTGAGCTTTTTAACACAGAAGTCAGACCGAAATGGTAAATGTGTGTGTGTTTAAATATATACATATGTGTGTGTGTGTGTATGTATTCAAGAAATTAAGCTGATCACAAGTTGTTATAGTTTGAAACCTGCATCATTCACATTTGACGTGTCAAACAATGGCTGATATAGGAAAATAAACAGCCATATATTAGTTGCACTTAGGGCTGAGCAATAGGTGGGGTGGGCTAACCCGAAGGTTAGCCCATAACCCGCTCATTTATTCATAAATGGGCATGGGCTAACCCATAACCCGGTAGTAGCCCATTTAGCCCGTATTAAATGGGTTACGGGGCAACCCGTTTGGGCTAACCGGGTTACGGGATAACCCATTTTTTTTAAAAAATTTTTTTCAGTATAGTTATTTTGTTTATGTAATCTTATGAAGTTGTCAATAAATTTTGTATGCCAAATAGCAAATCAAATATGAAATGACATCAATCATATTCAATCACACAACCTCACTTAGATTCGCAAACAATCAAAGTCTGATAAAATCATAAAAGTAGTCACCAATCATAAAGTCTCATAAACTTTGAAAGTTCCAACTTTCACCTAAAGGATAAAATAAAAGCTTAGACAAGCATGAAGGTTTGATAAAAGATGAATGAGAAACAATATCATCAATTAAATGAAGAATAAAAATATTTAAAAAAAATTAAAACTTAAACGGGCGGGTATGGGTAGCCCAATACCTTGCCCATAGCCCCAACCCATTTAATGGGCTACCCTGCCCATTTAAACCCGTCCGTTTATAATCTCTTATTTGGGCTAATTGGGCGGGCTTAAATAGGCAAAAATTTCATGGGTCATGGGCGGGCTAGCGGGTAATGGGTTTGTTGCTCACTCCTAGTTGGACTAATTTATTTAACAAGTATATATACAACTTTAATACTCCTCTGGTCCTTAATATAAGACCAATTTAACTAATTTGATTAGATTAAGGAAGTTAGGTAAGTTAGTTAATTATAAGAAAAGTGACACATTTTTCCCAAAATACCATAATCATCTTTTTTAATACCCCCTCTCCCTCTTCTACTGATTATGGGTGAGAGAGTATCTATAGGGGTAATTTAGAGAAAATTAATAAATATGAGAAATGGATCTTATATTTAGGATCAAAACCAACTTAAGAATTGGGTCCTATATTAAGGACCGGAGGAGTATTTATATTAATCATATGGATTGCTAATTCCTTCTTCTAACCACCAAATTTATGAATTAAATTAAATATTCTAAATTTGGTCTAACTTTGATGGTTCTAGAAGCAGGGATTTATATTCAAATTGCAGCAAGGTTTCTCATGCATTCTCAATATTGACATAAAGTAGGCCTACTTTATATTAAGACACAAATTAGGAGACCAACTTGGCCTCTCTTTGGTTCTTCTGAATAAAACAGATTTGCCATGAAGCCATATAAAGGCTAAAGCTAATTCCTAGGAGCGATATGCTCATTCCATATGTTAACTACCAAAAAATTCAAATTAGTTAGGTTGATACTTTATTTAATCATGTGCATTTGAACTATTATTTGGTAAAAAATTTTTAATAAGAATATTAAAAAAAAAGACTGTAAATATGAAAGATAAAATAGACTAAAGTATTATATTTAGAACCAAATTCAATCTCTCAATTAGCTTTTATATTAAAGACTGAAAGTAGTAGTATAAGCATTGACTTCCTTAAAAACATGATCAAGAGTGATTGTTCATTCCTAGCTACTTAACTACTTTTGATATATTAACAAATTCAAATAAATTAATTAATCATAACAGATGTGACATGATTTTCGTAAAATATCTTAGTTTAACATGGGATTATATATTAGTTTATAAGTTAGGTAGATTAATTAAAAAATAATAAATACAAAAAATAATATAGATTGAAATTATATATTTAGAAACAAATCTAACATCAAACTAGTTTTTATAGTAGGAGCAACGAGGAGTAAAAAGCTATGCTTGGCATGACATTGAGAAAGAAAAAAGTCACCTTAAGAAACAAGAAGCTCATTGAAGCCTCAAAATAATGTTTGGATTACCTTTTGAGCAAAATGACTTTTAGACCAAAAGTCATGGTAAAATTGGAAGAATTTTTTGTTGACTTCTAGTTGTTTTTGGCCTTTTTTTTTTGTTGAAGAATTGAACTTTCTGGAATTAATTTTTTTTATTATAAAAGTATATCCAAAAATAAATTATCTTACACTAATTTATATTATCTCAACTTCAATTTGTAAAAGTTACTTTTACAAACATAAATTCAAACAAGCTCATATGAACTTTCATGTCACCGAGAGTGTTACTATTAATCACATAGCCGTTGGGTGAATGCTTCTAATCAATTAAAGACAAAACCTGCAATCCATCCTTATATGGGTCCTGTACCCTCAAATGTTGTCTTTTAAAATCCATCCTTGTTCCTTACATGGCTCTGTATCCTTTATTTTCTTTATCTCATAAATTGGGAGAATCTCTAAAGCTGATTTCTGAATCTGGTTCAGTAGAGAGAAAAAAAGAAAAAGCTATTAAAACAAGAATTGTCGCCATTAGAGTACTGTGCTGATGCTCTCTCTGGTCAGTGCGAAGGTCATTATCATTTATGATCACCAAACTTTCAAATTCAACATCAAAGCCTCTGAACATCGAGCTCTAGCTTCCTCCTGCTGGACAGCTTCCATTCACACAATAGACAGTACAGACAAAGTATTTATTTTTTGTTTTTTGGTTTGAAAATGGTTAATCTTAAACACGAGGAACATGTCCTCCATATCATATATATATATATATATATTTCTTGTTTAGAATCCATACTATATATTTTAATTAATGTTGTCATGTTTTCGTGAGTTGACTCATGGCTCTATATAAATAATAGATTTACCTTTCTCAGTTGGTGTGTGAAGAGTGTGAAGAATGGAGGGCTTGCTGAAGCAGTGGAAGGAGGAGGCAGAAGCAGAAGCAGAGGTTGAAGAAGAAGTGGGCTTAGTCAGACGACAAGCTCACGAGCAAGTCACCACCTTTACTGGTTCAGATATTCATATCCAAGGTGCGCTACATTCAATGTCTATGGATTTAATAAATAAATATCCATTTTTTTGGAACATATAAATATATCTTCTTTTTTTTTTTTTTTACAAGGTTGAATGTAAGATAAAATTTGTCTTCCAAAATTCGTTTTTTCTTGCCATGCAACGATCAACATGCTTTCTTTTTTGTTTTTTTTCACCCAGTTTTATCTTCAGTATTTAGTAGTCCTGAGTCCAATAGTAAAATTTTCTTCTTCTTCTTCTTAGCTTTTAAGTTCTAACTGAGAAGGTTTGTGAAGAACCCTACAAAACAAATAAAATCACATTGAGAGCTCTAGCAAGCTAATAAATTTGCCCGTTCATTGGCTTCCCTTACAAATATTCATCTTTCTAAAACTTTTTCGACCTTACGCTTTTTCCAGTTGCATACTTTGTTTTTCCTATTTGTTCTCCTCCTGCAGAAACATCACAAGCAGAAATTCAAAGAGTTTATCTGCAACACATTTGGTTTATGCTCTTTGTTAAGATGATTAACAAGTTGGCTTTTATGAAATTCAAAAAGGAGTTTCTGTTTTGCTTTTTATGGTTCAAGGAACATCAGATTTCGGAGGACTTCTCATAGTTCCTTATTCAATAAAATTCATACAATACAGGGCAAGAGATTTCTGAAACAAAGGACGATTCCGGTGGCATTGAGAAGAAGGACACGACTTCACCTTCCTCTGATCCTATTATTCCTGGGGATTCAACTCCTCCCAAGAATGTGACCATTCAAACTGAAAAAAGTGGGTTCCTCTTTTATTTTTCTACTTACAAAAATGAATTTCTGTTTTGCCTTTATGGTTCGAGGACCAATCAGATTTAGGAGGACTCTTTACAGTTCTTTATATTTAATAAAGGTCATGTAATGCAGGGCAAGAAATTTCTGAAACCAAGGACGGTTCCAGTTTCAGTGACATTGAGAAGAAAAACATAACTTTACCCTCCTCTGATCCTATTATTTACAGGGATGCAACTCTTCCCAAGAATGTGGCGGTTGAAAGTGAAAGAGTAAGCGTAATAACAGAGAATATTCAATTAGCCAAAGAACTATATCTGGAAAGTCTATATCTGAAGCCACCCACACAAGGATTCTATTGTCCTAATTGTCGGGCTTGCATCCAGAAAGTTTTGATTTTGGATCCAGTAAGGGAAGAACCTGATACTCCTGCACAATCTCATCCACAATTTGAAAGATTCAGATGCTCAACATGCTTCAGTTTTCTCATCCCAATAGGTGAAATATTCAACATAACTGGTGCATTGCACAGAATATAAGCACCTTGTTATGGGATTTTATATTTACTTACATTGATATGAGCATAAGTTGAAAAAAAAAAAATTCTTCTACATTTTTGGACAGGTAGTTGGGTCCTTCCTTGGTTGGTGCGTGACAAAGAAGGTAAGCTGTTTTATGAGTCTGTTTTTAATATATTGGACTGCTTATACATACAACAGAACACTTGTTTGGCTTCTTGAATGAGCTTAACATCTCTATACTGTTTCTGGGGCACCCTAGGATTTTGGGATGTTATCATTAAGGATATTAACCATTTAACAGAAGTTTAATAGCTGATAGTTAATCTCCTTGACGCTGAACTAAGATGTCTTCATTTACCCTTGCCAGTGAAATCAATGTACAAGTGCTAAAGTTAGTTTGGAGAACCTTTCCGACTCAACTTTTGGCTTTTGGATCAATCTTGATTCCTAAAATCTAAAATCAATCCAAGTGCTTTATTAAGATAATCCAAATATTGACCTACCTAAATTTTAGACATTCTCTTATTTTGCACTGCTACCTCTTTCCTCTCCTATTTTTCCTTCACCTATATATTGAGGTCAAATATTATGTCCATTGCTGGCTGTGACAATGGGGAAAAGGATACACTGTCTTTTTATTCCATTTTATTTTCTGGGTTATCTTAAAATCATTAGCTGTGGATTCCTATTGCTTATCATAAAATGGAAGAGCTTATTGAATCTTAGGAATATATCTAGTAAAGGCAATTATTGTTTAGAAGAGTAAGCTCATCACACTTCATGCATTGTTGTCTTCAATATTCTATTATTTTTTCCAACAGAAGTAACTGAAGATGCACCAAAAACTAAGGTTCCACCCCCAGAAGAAGTTCCCCCTCATTCAGGAAGTCAAATGTTGCAACCTGAACCAATAATCACTGATGGTGCACATAAAACTCAAGGTAAGCGTAGTCCTTTCTTTGTTTAATTGTTTTGGATATCTCAAACGGTTAATCAAGTTCACCAAAAAGACCATACTAAGTACCATATGGTACATTTATATGCAATGGCTTTATGGGGTTTGAAGTAGAGAGAAAACCGAGAAGAGAAGAAGGCTTCATCTTTGTACATACACTCCGCTCATGTCAAACTATAAAGACTAATCATAGCCATTCTATGTGTCACTTAAGAATTTTTCATTCAATGTGATGTGAGAATAATTATAGCTTAGTAAATCATGAACTTATAGGAATTAATAAACATTTTCTTTTTCTCCTTCCTAACTTCTACTCTCTTGAGCTTTTTCAAAATTATATACGAGACAATCACAAGTCCTTCATCAGTCATCAACTATTTTTTCACATAATCTGCATATCTGGGAAATAATCTCTAAAATATCTCAAATTTCCAGAAGATGAACAAGGCCCAGATGGATCTAGAACCAAACCTTCACGTTGGGGAGTTTTGGCTAGTGCTTCAGCCATTGCTGTACAGAAAAAACCTGAAGTTGATATTTCAAAAATTCCAGAACGGCGACCAGCCGAGAATGGGGTAGATGGAGCAAGCACAGGTATACAGAATAGTACTTTTGGCATTATGGCATATTCAAATGTTTAAGTCTTCTTATTCATGAAAAAATTTCTCATTTAACAGACAATACTGAAGATAAAAAAATGAAAGTGATCTAAAAATGTTCTGAAGCCTAAATCATGGACTTAGTGAGAGTAAATGAGATAGGAGAGATCTGGAAATAAGAAAACATGGGTTCAACGAGTGTAATAGCAGATAGCCTGACCGTATTTTTACTCTGTTGAGTTTTTATCAAAATTATATACTGTATAGCGGTATCACAAGTCTTTTACCAGTCATAGACTATTTTTCACATGATCTGCCTATTTTTGAAGTAATCTCTAAAGCAGCGTCAAATTGCCAGATCTATCACATCAAATTATTGATGTCCCAGAAGGTGAACAAGGCCCAGATGGATCTAGAGCCAAACCTTCACAGTGGGGACTTTTGGCTAGTGCTTCAGCGATTGCTATACCAAAAAAACCTCAAGTAGATATTTCAAAAATTCCAGAACAACAAAAACCAATTGACGAGGCTGCAGATGTCGGGGTAAGCACAGGTATGAATAAAAACATTGCTGCCATCATGATATTTTCAAACACTTAAAGATTTCATGTTCATGATAATAGTTCTTAATTCAACAGAACACTAAGGATAAAAAAATGAAAGTGATTTAAAAATGTGCTTAAGCCTAAATCATGGACTTCACATATTTTGAATGAGATAGAAGGGATCTTGGAAAACGAAAACACGGTACAATGAATTTAATAGAAGATAAAGCGCACATATTTTAAGGGCATTTAACTTGCAACAGTTAGGAGTCATTCTTTCTGAGTACAACCAAAAACCATTTTTCCACCTTTTTGTACATTGCCCAACACATGAAATGTGGTCCTTCTTCAGTGTATCCCTCAGACCCTAGCATGTCCCTCTAGTTAAAATGGTTTCTGAGTAAACTAGATTGTAGGGCTCATACTTTACATAGAGTCTAAGGAAGCTACATTATTATGGCTTCTGTTGCTTCTAGTGGATGCTTCTGTTAACAATCTATCAGTACCCAATGATTTTGACCTTCTTTACAATTCAATCCTAAAAATCATGTCTTATGTTCATTATTTTGCATCTTAGAAATTCTGGCACTGTGATATATTGCAATGAAGTGATGAGGCGTATTCATTGAACAGAGCCCCTAGGAAGTACAACATCGGCTTCTACAACTACAGCAGGTGCAGTTCAAGAACCAGGAAGCGGAAAGACATGGGATATTCCGAAAAGCATAGTGTACGGTGGTCTGATTGAATCTATTGCAAGCCTTAGCATTGTGGCATCTTCAGCAAGTGCAGATGCTACAACATGTAAGACTTAAATCTTTCTTCATTTCTTTGTTCTCCCTTTCTTTTGCTTCTGAAATTATTTTTAATAAGACTATTGGATTAGTATTCTGTTTGAAATAATCCAATATCCCTGAAGAGGTGTCAAAGGGTCTTAATTTTGATTCTTAATCTGTCTTGTTGTAACAAATCTAACTCTAAAATATTTTTTCGGCTTTAAATAAGTCATGAAATTTGATCACTAAAGATTTTATTGTATCAGCATGCATATTACCGAAAGGAACTACTGCATATCATCATTAAGCCTGCAAAGTTACTTTTTTTGGTTAAATCAGTATCATGGCCACTTGGCCACATAATCTCATTAAATTAGTGCCTTTAGCTTTTAATTTGTACCATATCTCTATTCTTGTAGGTTATGATATGCTAAATTAGTGTCATTTAAACGGAATGGTATGTTAGAGCATATATAAGAATATAAAATTAAAAAATTAGTTTAGCACGAAACAAAATTGGGGCACTAGAGTGAAACAATTCATAAATTTGAGGGATCAAAATGAAAATTTAAGCATAAATAACCAGTTCACCAGTTAGATAGCATAGTTAAAAATTGTCAGAGGTTTTAATGAACATACAACAAAGTAATAGGTATTATTAGAGTCATATTTGCATATTACTTTGATCTAACGATATTCTTCTATCCACCAAATTTATTGGCAGTGAGCATTCTGGCTCTATCTCTTGCAAACCTGATCGGAGGACTTTTCATCCTTGTTCATCATGTGAGTTTATTTCAAAACCCACATTTACTTTGAAATTATCAATATTACTCAATATGTCAAGATTTGATATAAAATATAAAGCCATGATAGTTCAGTTCACACTTCATGTGCTGCAAAAAAAAAAAAAAAAAGCTTGCTGCCATTGAAACTTACACATGGATTTACAGATGTGGGACCTGAAATCGAGCAACAAGGCACAAATGAACTTGTGGATCGATACTATCTTTCTCTAGGGAAGAGGGAGAATTTCTATCTTCATGTGTTCATAGCCACACTATCATTCATCATATTTGGGATAGTGCCACCATTAGTGTATGGCTTGACCTTCTATGAGATCAACAATAAGGATCTGACCCTTGTGGCTGTTGCCGGAGCTTCTGTAATATGCATCACTCTACTGTCCATTGCAAAAACTTACATTCAGAGGCCAAATAGTTATCTCACATATCTCAAAACAGTGATTTACTATCTCAGCACTGGAGCTCTGAGTTCTGTACTTTCTTACTTGGCTGGTGTTCTTATAAGGAAACTTCTGGAGAAGCTTGGATTTGGCTCAGAAAGCTCACTCGGTTTTACCTTGACGCTGCCTGAGATGAGTATAACTGAGAAGCCTAGATTTGGATCCTACTGACAAGCATGGATACTTCATGGAATAGAGATTGATTGTAACTTGAAGCAATGAGGGAGCTTAGGTTTTAATTAGGGATTTAATTCTTTTAGGCTAAGATTTAATTCTACATAGGATTGGGCAAATTAGGATTGGTAGTCTTTGATTGTTGAATATTATTGAATTAGCAATTGAGCCTTGTGAATTTTGTTCCCTTCTCTTTCATTTTCTCTTTTTGCTCTCTGGTTTTACATCAGAGTGGCATCAACTTTTTTTTTTGGCTAAGCACATGTTTTTTTTATTAAAGACAATTCTATTTGAAGTACTATTAAGTACTAAACGTGGCCACATTCTTAATAAAAATTTAAACTTGAATTTATCACTATTGTTAGAACTAACCTTTTTTATTAAACTTAGTCTTAAGCCTACCCGTCGAATAGTTAGGTGTTGATTTTTATTTCTATGCTCAAACCCAACCAACATTTTTATGTAACAATAACATTAACACAGAATTTTTTAAACCATATTTAATAGATTTTTAAACAAAAGCATCAAATATAACATCCGATTACATAAATTGTTTAAACCTGGGCAGATACGTCAAGATCGGTTTCCATTTATTTTCCAATATTTATTAAGAACAAAATATTAGCTGTTTTATAAATTTTCATAAATCCTTTGACAATATATATATATATATATATATATATATATGGCCATATTATGACAGGTTGTCTTCATGGTGTAATGATATAATGCTCATGTGATGGATTTTCTCTTGGCGGAACACGAACATTGAAGGAATTATGGGAGGGACGTGTTTACGTGTGTTTATTTATTTATTTTGGCCATCAAAGACATGTTTTATTTAATTTATGGATTATTCTGATGAAGGCTCTTTCCTCCCTCTTATGATTTTTCTTTATTGCTATATATCAAATCTCTTGTAAAAATTAAAAAAAAAAAAGTGAAGCCTCTTCTGTAATTTTAATAATACAAATAGTAATAATAATGTGTATGTGGAGGCATACGCAGTTATTTATCCTTTTAACTGAACACGTGTTTCACGAACACATTAATGACAAGTCGGTACTTAGCTGTTCTTAAATGAATTTGATGTAAAAATGAATAAATAATAATCTTCCGATCCTTAATATAGGACTCAATTGTTAAGTTGATTTTGATCCTAAATATAAGATCCACTTTTTATATTTATCAATTTTCTCTAAACTATCCCTACGAATACTCTCTCAACTATAATCAAGTAAAGGAGGAGAAGAGGTATTAAGAAAGATGATTATGGTGTTTTAGGAAAAACATGTCACATTTTTTATAATTAACTAACACCTAACTTTATTAATCTAATCAACATAGTTAAATAAGTCTTATATTAAGGATGGAAGAGTAAATTTTTTTAATTTAATTGTGTACAACTAGTATTTAAATACTTCTCTGGTCTATTTATACGGAAAAGAAAAGATATTTTTTTGTCCTATTTATAGGGCAATGAGAGAAATTTTTGTATGTAGTATAATTTTACCATTCATTTATTAGTATGTTGATTTTATTTACATGAGGTATAAGTATATTAAAATAGATAAAATTGAAAAATTATAAATTTTAATGAAAGTTAATGAAATTTAAGGTTTTCTTAATATATATATGAACCATACTAAAAAGTGTCTAATAAATAATATCAGTACTTTTAGACAGCCAAGGTGATTCAGGAAGAACAATTAATGTGCATGTCTATCTGTCGTTGTTTTCGGATAATAAATGATATAGTTAATGTGTTCATACTTGCTTTAGATTAACATATCCAAGATTGCGCCTTGGTCTTGTTTTGCCTTTGTGGGGAAAACTGTTTTATGATGAACTTTTCTATCTTTTAATCTCTGAAATCTAAATAAAGTATAAAACAAGTTAGCTCAAGCACGTGGAACAAGGAGATTTTGGTACGCATGAACTTCCAAGTCTATTTTGGAAATTAATTAAATTAATTTTGAAAATTAATCAAATTAATGGGATATTTGGATTAGATTTTTAAAAATAATTTTGTAGAGTTCGAGATAAATATATGAGAAAAATTTTATTTTAATTTGTATGAAAGTACTGATTTTGGATTTATCAAACTCTCCCTGAATAGACAGCTTAGTGTTGTATTGGTCAGGCAGAGTTTTAATTAGTATTTTTAAAAATACTCTTATTTACAATCCCCCCTCATTTTTTAATTGAACAATAATGTAACTAGCTTCACCAAAACCAAACTTGACTTTAGAAGATCCTAGCATATTGTATATGCGTTAGCAATGAAAAATTGATGAGGTGTAACATTGCTAATATTTTAAGTTTAGGCATGTTTATGAGAAACCCAGAAATACCTTATGAACATATTTTTGGAGAAGCAAACACCTGTACTGACTGCATGCAACCCTAACAAAATAGAATAAATATTGATCAACTAGTTATATACTTACTTTATAGTTTATATATAAAGTCTAAGCATTCAAATCTTATCAAGTACTACCTCCGGTCCTTAATATAAGATCCTATTTGACTTTTATTTTAGTTCTAATATAAGACCCCAATCCACTTTGTCTTCATATTTATGCATTTTTTCCAAGGTAGTCCTTCTAATAATTATAGTTCTAGCTAATATAGTTGATTAGTAAGAATATTTTAGGAAAGACAACACATATTTATTACAAATAACTAACTTAACTTCTTTCCTTAATCTCCTCAAATTAGTCAAGTGGACCTTATAATTAGAACCGGAGGTAGTAATAAAGTACTAAACATAGTATCTGTTTCAAAAAAAAAAAGCAGGGTAAAGTGGTATTATGCACTCTAATATATGTATAAATATATATATCTATATATATTTTTTGCATTCAGCACCCTAATTTTATTTATAATGCATATAGCACTCTAAACTATAAATAAGATTATGATGCAGGATATAACTAGAAAAATAACATTAGCATGCTAGATGAACAAGAAGAATAATATTAAAGTACTTGATGCACCATAAATAAGATAACGATACTAGATGCATCTGAAAAATAAAATTAGAATGTTGGATACTATTTTATTAAAAAAAAAGTATTTAATACAGTATTGATCTTATAAGCTTTTGATGCTAGCAATGCAATATGATTGAGTATAAACATCAATATTTTACTTAATTCAAGGCTAATTAGAAGCAAGTCAATTATTTGAAGTGAAATAAAATAAAAACTGAACTAAATTATGGTTTGTGTTAACATTGATTTTGACAACTAGAGTGACAATTATGATTATTAATAATTAATAACCCTATTTTCCTTATGACAACTAGAGTGACAACTAAACTTAGCAGTTAGCATAGGTCTGCTTTCTCTTAGTTTTAATTAACGTTTATAGCATGCTAGCCTAAGGCTCTCAATCATATGATAACATCTATCAAACCGATAATAGGCATCCTATTTAATGGACCCTAATTTTCTTAGATGATTAATTATTAAACTACTTATGTCTAATGCAATTATGTGAGGCCAATAAATATATTTCTATTACATAAATAAATCAAGTTTTTCTATCTTCAAATACTAGTCAAAGGTTTATTCTAATCCCAAGTGAATATTAAACAAGTGGCCACAAATCCAAGCAAATCTAATATTATATAGAACACACAGCTAGTAACAATACCTGTGTTGTGAACACATAAAATCGACTCTTAATTTTTGGCCTTATTCATTTTTCTCTAAAACTCCTATGAACATCGTACATTCTCAAAAATTGACCAAGCATAAGAAATAAAATCAGAAGACATAATTTTCGATGCCAAAAAATAAATTTTTTTTTCATCCTTAACCCTCAAATAGTCATTTCCCTGTAATTAACCATCTAATAATGTAAATACATGAAAAAGAATCCATAGCCAATTTTAAAAATTTAACATGAAACTCTCTGAATTTATCAATTGCACTTGCACAGGATCCTGTGGGCCCACTTCTTCTTTGTCTTCCAGGAGAATTTTTAACAGTTACTGCTCTGTACCTTTTACACACTTCACATTTATGATTCTAACACTTGTTCAAGACTTGTACCTTCCACTCACACAATAAATTCTCTTTTCTTTTTGTTTTTTCAAAACAAAATTCTGACCGAGTAACAAGGACTATATTGCATTCCCCTTATAAATTGACTTTGAAGCATTACTTCTGTGCTGAACTTTTTCTTTTGTTTGAGGAGTGAAGAAATGGAAGGCGTAATGAAGCAATGGAAGGAGGAGGAAGAGCCAGAGGTTGAAGAAGGGGGTTTAGTTAAACGCCAGGCTCACATGCACGTCACAAGCACCACCATTACTACTTCGAAGTTTGATGTACAAGGTACGTTACATTCAACATATTTAGCAGTTTCTTTGGCAAAAGCAAACATTCAAACACTTGATCTTCAATATTTAATGGTTGTGATTCTGAATATAAGCTTTAGTAAGTCTAGATTTGCCTCCTTAAGCTTTAAGTTTTTGTAGTTTCAGACTCCGTGCTTCTTCTGCTTGTTCTTGTTTTATGATCCTGCAGGAATAACAGATTTAGTAGTTGTTTCACGCAAGGAAAAAAGTCAATTAGTTTATCTCCAACATTTGGTTTGATATGATCTTTATTATGGTGATGATGAAGATCTGTGTGCTTCAGTTTTCCCACTTATCAAGGCTTCTCCTGCTTGTTCTTGTAGTTCTTCTAAGCATGCTTGACCCCAAAACTGTTACCTGAATATTGTTTTCATACTCAAGGATGAAATGAACACCTGAAGCATGCATCTTTGATGGATTTTTCTTACAATAGACATCTTTCACATATTAAATCGAGAATTTGTGACGTTTATGAACCAAATAGTTGAGAAATTTTTCTCAAGGACACCAAAGCCACATTTCCTCTTTTTCTAATATATAGTTAACAAAGTTCATATAATGCATGGTTTCAGCTGCTGATCAAACAGAAGGATCTTCCGGACAGAAAAATGAAGGAGAAGAGTTCATTCAAAGGGAAGGGAATTCTGGTGAGATCGAGAAGAAGAAGACAAATCTCCATCCTTTAGATCCTGTAATTTCTGTGGACTCTACTTTCTTTAGTAGTGTGAGAACTGAAAGTGAGAGAGTTGGCATAATAACAGAGAATTTGCGGCTAAGGAAGGAACTATATTTGGAAAGTCTATATCAGAAGACACCCACACAGGGATTCTATTGTCCCAATTGTAAGGTTTGTATCCAGAAGGTTTTACTTTTGGATACAGTCCAGCAAGAAATAAGTGCTCCTGAACAACGTCCTTCACCACCTGATCCAATCAGATGCTCATCATGCTTCAGCTTCCTCATTCCAATAGGTAAAATCTAGTTTCACTTTAAAAAATTCAGATACTTGCACACACATATATATAGCACCTTTTCATTTTTAACAGGATTACATCTGTGCACATAAATAAGAAGGTAAGCCTCGAAGCAATAGTAAGGTTGCTGCCATGTGACCTGGAGGTTACAAATTCAGATTCTGAAAACGGTCTCTCCGCTTGTGGAGATACGGCTGTGCACATTTATCCCTCATCATACACCACTTCTGCATTGGGCTGCCCTTTTTAACATCTGCTGCCCCATTAGGCTATCAAGGAACTGATTATTTGCAGCCAAGATTGAATACAGTCAGCTGCTCATCACTCTATTCAATATAACTTCAAGTTACAATTCTTCTGCATTTTTCAACAGGTAGTTGGCTCTTCCCACGGTGGGTACAAGACGAAGTATCACCTATTCAAGGTGAAGTATTTCCTGAATCTATTTAACTCATTGGGCAATTTACATGCACTTATTTGATTTCTTGAATGAGCTCAACATCTGAACAGTGTTGATGGGGTGTCCATGGATTTTAGAATGTTAGCATCAGGCAACACAACCATTTATACATGTTACAAACATGGAACATAATTTGATTACTGGAACTGAAGTTTAATAATTGATAGCAAGATATTTACCAAGTTCCCACCAATGCTATCTTCACCAAAGGATCAGAGTGAACTCTCATTTGGATTTGGATTGTGAAGGACAAGTCATGTCCCATCGCTTATTTTGCTCTGCAGCCTTAAATATTAAATAAATTGGTCCAGTGATGAGGTCACCCATCCTTCAATTCATTAATTCTGGCATATCATTTGAGTTGAGATTAAAGGATGGTCTCCTTCTGTATGATGATCTTTTAACAGTATCTACTGCTTATTGCATCTCACAAATGCTTATCCTCTACCTTTGCCATTGAAATCAATGTAGGTGTGCAACAGCCAACAGGTCACTCAAAGGGAAACGGAAAACTGAGTGATCAAAGAGCTGAAGTTACAGAAAAAATTCCAGTTCAGGCCCCTCAGACACGACAAATTACAGGTCAAGCCCTGGATGAAGTTAATACTGCAGCTGATTCAGGAAAAATAATCTCGCAGCCTGAACAAGTCAAGCATGATGGAGCAGATCAAGCATCTAATGAAGACGATCATAAAACCAGCGGTGAGGGCAGTCTTTTTTCTTATTTACTTGTTTTTGGTTAAATGCAGAAGCTAGTAGCAGAATTTAATGCGAAGACATCATTAAGTACTATATAATGAATGTGCATGCAATGAACAGAATTCAATCTTCACATGTGGGTGGGACCTACATGTTAGATATTGAAGACTAATTCATGGGCATTTGATTTTCGCGAACTATGTTACTTAAGAATTTTTTCTTCAACATGAGAGTATGCAAGAATAATAAAACCTAGGAAATCATCCTCTATACGTAGGGGAACTAGTAAAGTCTTTATTGTTTTTCAAGTACTTGTCTCGTTGCTAGTTATTTCTTTCTACTCTATTGTTCCCAAAATTACATCCCATTCCAAAATAGTCACAAATCTTGCATCAACCATGGACTATTTTTCATATGATCCCTATCTTAGTAATCCTGAATATAATATCAAATTGCCAGATTCGCCAAATCTCCCCAGTGAAATCCCACGAGATGAGCGTGGACAGGATGGATCAAAAAGCAAAAATTCACGCTGGGGACTTTCATTTGGTGCTTCATCCTTTTCACGAAGAAAAAAGATAAAATTGTTATTCCAGAAAAATCAGAACAGCCACCGCAGCTTGAAGAGGTTAAAGTTGATGAAGGAAGCACAGGTTTGTAGAATAAATAACATCTTTCCATGCAAGTAAAATATGAATATATCATCTGGCACTATGGTTTTGCAAGAATCCTCACCAGCTGATGAATTTATCTTATGGGTTAATATTATGATATGGATTCCTATACAGAATAGATAATTGAATGAAAGTTAAATTCTTGCTGGCTATGATATGTTGGAGGCATAATATGGTATATTATGTATTTTAAGCAAAGAAATACTGTATTTTGATCACGTATTACAGGCTGCATAGATTATGATGGAGTTAAAAATTGAAGTGATCCAAAAACGGTTTCTACAGAGAAGGCACAGATTATGATAAAGTTAAAAGAGATAGCAAAGATCTCTAAATTAGAAAACAGGGTAACAATGAGCATAATAAAAAGATAAACTTTTCACCGAAAAAAAAAGAGAGAGAGAATAAACTGAACATATTTAAAGCACATTTTCCTTGGAACAATTGTCATACTGTGAGGACATTAAAAAAAAAAAAAAAATTCACACCTTGCACATATAGGATCCATCATGTTAACTTTAGTTCAAAGAAGAATAAGGAGGGGAGGAATAAAATTTCAAAATATAAATAAAAGTGGTTCATATTAGTTGCTTAAAGTGCAAGAAAGGATTTATTCTTATTAGAAGTGGATTTTGCTGTGTGGCATCTGTCGATTTTTTTTACTCTCTTCTCTCTTCACAATTCAATCCTGAAATCAAATCATTATTATTATGAATGTTTTACAAATTAGGAATTATGCACTCTATTAACTTGCAATGAAATGATGTGGTGTATTCATTGAAAGAAATTCCTCCGAGAACCACAATAACTACAACACCAGAAACAGTTGTAGTTCCGGAATCAGGAAGTAGAGAAACATGGGAAATATTGAAAAGCATGTGTATGGTGGTCTGCTTGAATCTATAGCAAGCCTTGGCATTGTGACATCTTCAGCAAGTTCAGATGCTACCACACGTAAGAATTAATCACTCCTAAACTCCATTTCTTTGCTCTCCTTTTGCTCTAAAATCAGTATTCAACAAGACTACTGAATCTCTGTTCT